ACTGAATAAAATGTTGACGCAGCTGTTATAGAACATTTATTTTTAGAATGTGATAAAGTTCGTTAATTTTTTTTTTATTGTTCTGCATCAAAATTGATGTTACAGACTTCAGTTAATAGCAACATTTGATTTGTGAAAGGTGGAAGGTGGATACTTAATAATTTTAACGCAAAATCTTGCATCATCGATTGCTCATTTGCAACATTAGACCAAAATAAAATAAGATTATCGGTAAGCTTGAGTAATTTCTGAAAATATCCAGAATTTTCTACATATTCTGTGAATACTCGCAAACTTTCTTCTCCTGTAATATTATCACAAACGAATTCTCTAATATGTGTCATATATTTATCATTATCTAGTAATGTACGTCATTTATATTTTGAATGAAGAAAATTTGCTGTTGTAAAAAGAGGTGTAATAAACTTTTTAATTTCGAGCTCAATAATAACTTTATATTCTTCTTTTTCAATTTTATTATATAGTAGTATCCATTTTTCAACTATATCAGCAATCGTTAATTTGGGATTTTTAAGTTCTTCGATTAGTTTGTATATTTCAACTGAAAGTTTAAAAATTGAGTTAATTTTACTCTAAAATCATTATCAAAGAGTAACTGCATTCTTTGAAAATTGATAATTATTATCATCTGATCTTATTTGACGCATGAACTTGAAATTCGATGAACATGTAGCAATTAAGTTGTGATTTGTATCTCAATCGTTATCACTAAAACCAATATTTCTGGTCCCAACGCGAAATCAAGTCCGCCTGTATTTCTTGTCTTTCAAATTTTTTTTGTAAGAACTTTATTTTATTGATAAATGTAGCATCAGTAAGTGCTTCTTTCAATGAATTTATATCGATAAGATTACTTTTCATGTACCAGGAGTTCGGGTTAAGATTATCTTCAATATAGTAACAATCGAAGTCGGAGAACACTGCAAATATTGGACTTAGAATTTTCCTATTTGCTTTTTTACAGAAGAATAAATAAAATTATACATTTTATCTTGAGCATTTTCGGAGATTTCATTGATATTAATTATGTCAACAAATATGTCAACAAATATATACTTTCTATTACTATTCATATTACTGGTTTTTTGAAAAATCATACTAATAAAACTTGGATTATTATTTAAGCAATTGAGGTATCGAGTTATTAATAATATTCCTGTATTTTTGTCAGATGATTTACTTAAAATCCATTTATCGATTTAACTAAGTAGAATTAAGCAGCTCAGTAGAGGGTA